GGATAAAAAAGAGATCACGGAGATCTCGGAGAAGAAGAGGTCGTGGAGAGATGGATAAGAGGAGATCGCGGAGATCTCGGAGAAGGAAAGAACGTATCAACCCGCGGATCACGGAACAGTTCGTCTCGTTCTATTTAGTATGTCTTGTTCTATTTAGTATAAATAGGAGTTGAAAAAACACTTTGTAAACATTCATCTTTCATCAATATAATCCAAACTCGTCGATATTTGTCTTTATTTTTACATCGCTCTTACCAGAATTCTTGCCCAAATTCTTCTACCACAAAATCAATACACTAAATCCTTGAGTGTGGATTTTAGGATCCACATTTTGGCGCCGTATGTGGGGAAGAAACAGAGAAATTCTTACACCTGAGACCAATTTCAAAGACAAGTAAGAACGAAATGGATTCCAGAAACGCTGAAACATCTAGCTCAAAGACAAGCTCCGGCCTCGCACTAAACTTCAGCATCGCAGGACGATCTGGAGGTGCCGAGATCACCGATCCACAAAGCTCGTCTGCCCAGAAACAGACAAACGAGCCGAGCGTCGCAAATCCGACAATCAGCTCGACTCAAACTGTTACTTTGAGCGCGATGCAAACTACCGGCATGCCCGCAGTGTCGCGCTCGGAGTCCAGAACGGCCCCAATATTCACATATTCGCGGACCTGGACAAAATTTGGAATTCCACCGATCGGATCCAGCAGTTCGAATCAAACTGAATCCGTCCGGGCCGGATCGTCTCAGACGGTAACCAGCGACGACCTAGCGGAATTTCGAAGGATGCTAGCCTTCTTGGCAGAACAAGCCCGCGAGCAACGAGCTATTCTCACACGAAATGAGAAAGAGATAGCTAACATGCGACGAGAGCGGGCACAACCAACTCAGTCTCAGGGCAAAGATCAAACCGATCTATCCGAAGAGGAAGATCGAAGTCCGCCCCCGACTACTCGCTTGGAGTTCGAACACCTCGCAAATGACAATCTGTCAACGCAGTTCGTCACTCCGCCGCGAAATAACAACACCCCAATGTTTAGAGAGATAGTCAATCATCTGCCGATATTCGGATCCGGACAAACGGATCACGAAACACCCGCGGCAGACGATCGTCGAGATCTGCTATCGTCACCTCCGCCACTTTTCCCAGGATCACAGGGTTGCAGTGCGACCCGCACTAACCTGCGAATGGACAGGCGATCTAACGAAGAACGGACAGCTAACGACACGTTCCCACTCGGAAGTCAGCATCAGAGGAACATGCGTAATAAAAATACGCAGATGACCCTCCTACCATTATAGATCCGCGATCTATAAACATCTTCGACACGCTCCAGCGATACATCAAATCTAACAACACCGAGCTAAAGCGCATGTACGCCGCAGTACATAAAGCTACATGCTCAGCCCCCGATATAGACCGCGTGTTGGACAAAACTCGAAGAACTCCCTTCACCAACCGCATAGCTAATGCTAAAATCAAAGACATGGGGAAAATGCGATTCCCAGAGTATAACGGAACAGCAGACCCCCTAGCCCATCTCAGAGCCTTCAGGCTTGCCGTAGCTCGAGCCCATCTCAACGACGAAGAGAAAGAGGCAGACTATTGCCGTCTTTTCGCCAAAAACCTAGTCGGATCCGCCTTAGAATGGTTCACCGGACTAGAAGAAGGATCAATTGACAGTTTCCAGCAGCTTGGTTCGGCCTTCCTTAAGCATTATTCGGTGTTTATAACGTCCAAGGCCACAGAAGCCGACCTATGGACCTGCAGAAAGAATCACCAGGAGCCCTTGCGGTCTTACTTGGCTAGGTTCAAGGAAATCAAATCCAAGATATCCGAACTAAACGAGGGGGTAGCACTCTCCGCGCTCAAACAAGGGCTATGGTTCGACTCACCTTTCAGACAGGAACTATCGGTTCGCTGTCCGGTGTCTCTAGACGACGCTTTGCATCGAGCTTCGAGCTTCGCTCGCTACAAGGAAGAACAAAACGTCCTCCGAGAACAGTTCGAAGCCGGGTTACTGACACCCAACCTCTCCACCTTCGCAGACACGGACTCCCTTATGAGATCGTGACAGACATCAGTACTAAGTAACCGCTGGAGCTTTCTGTCCGGAAAACGGAGAACTTAACAAAGAAATGCTAACAGATCGGCAAGGTATGATCAAAGAACAAAGAGATCGAACCCTTATCCGAATCCAGAGTTACCAGCAGGCCGCGGTCCGCTACTATAATTCTGGTGCAAAACACCTGAGCTTTAGTATTGGTGATCTCCTGCTACACAAGGTATTCGATAACACTAAAGAGTGTGGCGCCGACAAGCTGGGCACTAACTGGGAAGGTCCTTACAGGATCGTCGAAGTAGTCCGCAGCGGTGTCTACAAACTCACGAACATCAGAACGGGAGTGCTAGAGATAAGAACGTGGAATGTTATAAATCTCAAACATTACCACCTCCGAGCACCGATAATAATCGAACTACGTTCAAGCTTGATCCCTTGACGGGGTACGTAGGCAGCTCGACACCGAGTCCAGCCACTATCTTTTCTTACATACTTAGTTAAAATTATAAAAATGTATGTAACATCGCGTTTGTGAATAGAAACCCTTCTTCCGAAACTCGCTCACTTGAAGATCTCTTAAAACGATTTCATAGCTCGAGGCCCCGAGCCCGCTAAGTAACGATTGAGCCAAAAAATCTCAGCTTAGTTCGCTATCATATTGGGTAATTAATAGTCATAGTTTATAGCTCGCTAAACGATAACGAACTCTACCAAAGTAGATTAAAAAGTCGTTATCTGCAGTAAACTATCATAAATCGATCTAAACAGAACTATCATCAAGCTCGTAGCTCGATGAGTAACTTGGCGCCTACAAAATAAAAGTTACTATCACAGTTCGCTACTCGCTACTTGGCACCATAATGCGATCTCTCTAAAACGATCGTATGGTCACAACTTATAAAACTTCGGCACATTTTAAACAAAGAGCATTTACAACGCCTTGTTCGAAATCCTGACCCCATGATCAAAAATCATGCGATATAGGTCGTTCGTATAGGTCCCACGGGGTGAAAAGTCCTAATTAAATGTACTAAAGAGGGAAATTTGAAAAATCCTCCATAAAATAGTCCGCCCCTTTAGTTCGTTTCTCACTAAACGGGCTGGGGGGCAATTGTTGGTGTTGGATTTAGCCCAAATCCAGTCCGTAAAGCACTTTGAGTGAACAAGCCATTATAAAGGAAGTTTTGGGTCCTATAGGCCCGTAACTAAGGCAAAAAAAGCATCTCAAAGGAATATACTCAAGTACAAGTCAATCTAAGAGGACGCAGACAGCTGGATAAAAAGAGATCGCGGAGATCTCAGAGAAGAAGAGGTCGTGGAGAGATGGAGAAGAGGAGATCACGGAGATCTCGGAGAAGGAGAGAACGTATCAACCCGCCGATCTCGGAACAGTTCGTCTCGTTTATGTCTCGTTCTATTTAGTATAAATAGGAGTTGAATCTTTTGTAAAGGGCATCCAATCCTTAGCTCAAAAAACACTTTGTAAACATTCATCTTTCATCAATACAATCCAAACTCGTTAATCTTTGTTTTTATTTTTACATCGCCCTTACCAGAATTCTTGTCCAAATTCTTCTACCACAAAATCAATACACTAAATCCTTGAGTGTGGATTTTAGGATCCACAAGGAAGTTGCTAGATTCATCAACCATTCTTGTTGAAAAGTGGAGACTTGATGCACAGAAGATGTGTGACTAAATCTGCAAGAGAGGTGATTGTTATGATTATTACAATACTTGAATACTGGTCAAGGGTAAGTGTAGTGAAGAGAAGGTAGAAGAAGATAGAAAAAGATGATTGAAGACCGATGGGGAAAGGTTGGAAACAATTTTAATTTTGATGGTATATAACGTAAATACAAAGAGTCTCACATCAACAGGTACGATATATTATCAAACAAAATGAATTAAGCCTACCAACGATTATAATACAAATCATTTACAATGAAAAAAAAAAAAAATTAAACAGCATGATGAGGGAAGCATCAATCGGCAAGCACTAAAACATGAGAAATTCTAAAATCTTTTATTTGGAATACAATTTTTTAAAAAACAAAATGACGTAGCTATGGACATATTGGAGAAAGAGAACGAATGGCATCAAGCAATGAAAAAAGATTACAATGGGCTATCCCAGATCAATTGAAAATAACTTTTTGTCACGATGATAATACATTGTAAAGTTATCAATCCTTCAAGGTTGTGGAATAATATAACTCGCCCATTATTGAAAGATTTTTGTCAAGCTTAAACAAATACAGAAGAATCAAATGACAAATTAAGAAAGAAACAATAACAAAGAATAAGATGAAAGGTAGGGAAAAGCAAGTCACATTCAATATTAAAAAACTATTAATAGTTACTATGTAGCAAATATGTGTTGGAATATATCCAAAGAAATAAAATATAATCAATTACTATCTCACAAATTAAAGAACATTAGATCAAAAAACATCATTTGAATATACCCGCGTGCTTTTTTTCTAGTTAGTAATAATATATGTCAGATTGAACATATTCAATTTTATAGAAAAAGATAATTATTCGTATATACTATTTTTTATGGTTGATGCAAAACACTTTCCTTTGGTCATTTCTAATTCTATATCTAACGTCTACCCACCCGATTCAAATTTATTAGATAATCTTTGGTCAGAGTTGCACGTTTTTTTGGCAACTGTTTGATATAAAAAGCCATTAATATTACTATATCTTCTTTAAGATAAGAAAAGCCAGCTGCTGTTTTTGTCTTACTTGATTTGTTTTCCGTCCCTTGTTGATAAATAATTGATTTATCCACGAGATGCTCAAGCCTATTATAATTAACATTATTTTCAAAAAAATGTGTAAAATAATCTTACTTGTCTACTTCTCATCCCCTATAAAAATGTTTGAACTTAATGTTACTCGTCACAAAATTAAAGTTCTATAGAAACTCTTTTGCAGTTTAACTATATTCTTAAAAAACACGAAATAGTTGGATCATCGGAAGAAGAAAGGAAGAGTACTAATGGAGAGACAGAAGAGTATAATGGAGAGACAGAAAAGCATGGAAACCGGTTTACTCAGGAAGAGTCTTAGCATAAGAGAAAGGAAATACCCAAATGAGGACGGTTATCTTGAAACCGGTTTATCATCAAAGCGACATCCAAACCATAAAGAATCGAAGAAATATCAAAATGAAGATGGTGAATGTTCTGTTACAACTTCTGTTTGCCTTATCACCTTTGTCGTCGTCACTGGCTCTTTCTGCGTTGGCTGTGGTGTGAGTAAGCTTTACTTTCTTGGTTTTGATTGAAGATTGGTTTTGACGAAATTTTGACGGATTTATATATCCTCACAAACGAATTAATTTTCCAACCACTCTCCGTCATTGGAATTTTTTCCAACTGCCAACACATAAATGTTTTAAACGTACTTAATCCAATAGATTTTCCATCTTCCAAAATTCATTGGAAAAATACATATCTAATATAATTTTGGGTATATCTGACGGATTTGATCATAAGACATGAATATGATTTTGTAGTATAATGAATCTATTTTTTGTTTTTTTTTTCTTTGCTGTTGCAACCAAAACTAGGCTAATTGAGGTAGATGCTTCGGTTTTGCAGATAGGTTATTCATCAGTTGCCCAACATGGAATTATCAGTGAATTATCTCTCTCCGTTGCAGAAGTAAGTCTACTATATTATACACATAAAATCAATTTTGATTAATTTTATTGAGCTACATTTTTCTAAAAGTTAATTACAATTTCAGGCTGAACAGTAGCGTAATTATGAATTTTTGAACTCAGTGAAAAAAAACTGAGCTTAGGATCTCAGATTTAAGATTCCGTCCACTTTGTTGGATATGTGTTTGATAACTGATAAATTAAAGTCTATATAACAAATTACGGGGATGAATATTTTGACTAACAAGTGGTAAATAAATAATTAACAGAATACTAAATTTGATTTTAGGAAAAAAGAATATTACATCAACAAAGAATACTGCTAATTTAGCTAACTAGAAATCCATCATCTTTCCCTCTTTCATTTACTAACTCTATCAACCAGTTTTAATCTTTTTTATCATTTACCAGAATTACTTTTATTTTATTTTGCAGTATTCAATGTTCGGGTCAATGTTAACATTAGGAGGACTCATTGGTGCAGTATTTAGCGGTAAAATCTCTGACGTTTTGGGAAGAAAACGGGTAAGTAATTTAGTTAACCAAACCGATATATATTTTTTTTGTTAAAGCCAAACCGAGATATACTGACAATTCTTTTTATTTATTTTTTCAAAAAACAGACAATGTTTTTTTCCGAAGTCTTCTGCGCAACAGGCTGGCTCTGTATTGCACTGGCTCAGGTTTTTTTTATTAATATTTTTTGTTTGTCTCTGCTTACTTATTTTTCTAAATTTGTTGTTATTTCTTAAATTATTTTGTTTGTTTCTGTTTAACTCTGGAGAGTTCCATGACTATATATGTTGTATATATTATTGAAGGATGCACTGTGGCTAGATTGTGGGAGATTACTACTTGGAATCGGCGTTGGTATCTTTAGCTACGTGGTAATTTCTCTTATCAATTATTTTCTCTAATCAGAAGTGGAGTTTCTAAGTTAATATATATATATATAGACTGATATTTTTATTTTTATATAGATTCCCGTGTATATCGCGGAAATAGCACCAAAACATGTTCGAGGATCGTTCGTTTTTGCTAATCAGGTTCTTGCATAAATTAAACCTGATTTTTTTTTTAACTTGATCAAATATTTTTATTTTAATTTATTTTGTTGAAAATTGATTTAGTTGATGCAAAATTGCGGGCTTTCACTTTTTTTCATCATTGGAAACTTTATTTCGTGGAGAATACTATCTTTTATTGGTAAGATCCCGTTAAAAGTTTGAATCAATACCTTATAGTATATGACTGGATTACATCGATATATTAAAATCTATCTTTTGTTATATTTTAAGGTTTGGTTCCATGTGTTCTTCACGTTGTTTGTCTATTCTTCATTCCTGAGTCTCCACGATGGCTGGTAAGGCAACTCTAGTTATCGATTTAATGGTCAAAATTTGCTTGTTCGACCAATCAATCAAAATTGGGTTGATACATAGTACCCAAATTAAATGTTGAAATGAGGGGTATCTATATTAAAGACAATATAGATGAATATTAAACCGCATTAATTAAGTCTAATATATTGTATACTCGTAATGACTTTTTAAATCTTTTCGACAGGCAAAATGTGGTCGTGATAAAGAATGCAGAGCTGCCCTACAACACCTTAGAGGCCATGACGTAGATATTTCACATGAAGCTAATACAATTAGAGTAATAAATGATTTTTTATTAGTCTAGCTTTAAATTATTGACGTCGTAATCTTAATTTTCTTGACTGTTACTGCTGTTAAATTCAGTTTATTTTTCGTCTTCTTATCTATTTTAGGATACGATGGAATTTACCAAACAAAGCAGTGAAACTACAATTATGGAACTGTTTCAGAAACGATATATAATTCCGTTAATTGTAAGTAATTAAATATAATAAGGAATTAAATTTATATTTATATTGTAGTTATTACTTATTAATTAAGAAATGGTATATGATCCCTCAAGTACATTAATGGATTTTTACTATTACAGATCGGAGTCGGCTTGATGCTCTTGCAACAATTGTCCGGTAGTTCGGGAGTTATCTATTATGCTAGTAGCCTTTTTGAAAAAGGAGGTACTCAACATTAGCTCTCAATATTCATTATTATGATTGAATTCGGTTACATCACTAAAAGAAAATATTTTGCCAATCCCTACGGAAATTTCCAAAATTTTGGATTCCAAATTTTTAATGCTTTTGGAACTGATTTTTTTTTTTTTTGAATTTTGGAAAATAGGTCTCAAATATAAAGCTTTATTTTGGTTTGGTTCAAATAAATTTGGATTCAGTTTTGAATAAATAATTATCAGATACTTTTTAAAAATATCTGTTAATTTGGGTTAGTTGCACAAGTATGTATCGTTCAGGTTATATAAATTCGTGTTCAATTTGAATAATTCGGTATAAAATGTATGTATCTTTTTGGGTTATATAATATTTGGTTAGGGTTTCGATTGATGAAATCCGATTATACACATGCCCTATCTTCAATATAATATTCGGTTCAAATTTTCTGCTGCCCACCCATTATACACATGCCCTATCTTCAATATATCTTACGTTATAATTATTATTATTATCTGCAAATCACTTGAATGATAGTAACTTAATTTAATTTCAGGTTTCCCTAGCGCTATTGGCACATCTGTAATGGCCACAATCATGGTAACAAAAAAATCTTACCGAAATTAGTTTGTATCATGATAATGTATACATTTGTGACCATTATTTCTATAAGTATACATTATTATGATATTATCTGTACACTTATAAAAACATTGTTGACCATTAGCATTTAGCATCTCCAAAATATTTTCCCACAATATTCTAAAACAAATCATGACTTCTTTTAATTATAAAAATGATTTTTTTTTCTTTGCAGATACCAAAAGCGATGATTGGAACAATAATTGTCGATAAAATGGGAAGAAGAACTCTCCTCATGGTTAGATATTTACTCATTTGACGTCAATTCATCTTTTGAAGTAATGTTTAATATATATATATATGTATATTTCACCCTTTACATATTTAATAAGTATTCTTTGTTGTTGTTACTTAACTATTGTGCAGGCTTCTTGTTCTGGAATGGGCTTGTTTGCTTTGCTCTTAAGTGTTTCCTACAGTTTTCAGGTGATCCCTTGTATAGCTCTTATCATTATTATAGATGATATATTAATTAGATATGTGTCAACGATAGATTTTTTTTTTGGGTCAAATACGATAGATTTTTTTTTCTGGTCAAATACGATAGATTTTAAAACTTACATTTAGAAAAAAAATTATAACTAAAAAATTTCAATTTTAAGATTATCTTCTTTCCATTTAGTAAATTCATAGGAGAAAACAAAATGAATATTTTCTGTATTGATTTCTTCGAGTTTATGATATTATTGTGTATTGTATATTAGGGCTAAATTAAGTTTTAAGGTTTAGATAGACATCTAATTTGTAGAGTCAATGTTTGATAAATGATAAATCGTGTGGTTCAGTTTCGTAAATATATGGTGTTTTTTTCACACATATATATTTTTAAGAAAACATAATCTTCTGTAAACTAGCATATTTATCAAATAACATAACATGAAATTTGTTAAAATCTCGAGCATTTTGCCTATGTGGATATTTTAGAAAACGTTTTAAAAAAAAAAAAAAAACTGGCCACAATTTGGCTATTTATTATATAACAAATTATTATTTATTTTGTTTACTTTCTAATGGAAATATGATTGGGTAGATCTTATCAATTTAATAATTTAAGAGTTCCCTATATTTTTTTTTATACTTTACCATGCTAATTCCTTCTTTGTTTTTGGTTTTAAACCATGCTAATTCTTGTTAATATTTAAATAGTCATTCGGTATTCTACCAGAACTCACTCCAATTTTCATCTTCATCAGCGTACTGGTAAAAAATACTTATTACTCCTATAAATTATTTCTTATAAAGAGAATTTATGTAGTATCTAATTGATTTATTATTGTTTTGATATATACGTTCGGTTTGATTAGGGTTACGTTATATCATATGCTCTTGGAATGGGAGGACTACCATGGATTATAATGTCTGAGGTAATTGCAATTAAATTCAACATGTAATGTCTGTTTTATATTCGAATAATAATACATATGTGTATATTAAAATTGAAATATAATATAAATCATTATAACTTCAATTTCTTACAGATATTTCCAATGAACGTAAAAGTTTCAGCTGGAACTTTAGTAACCGTCACAAACTGGGCAGGTGGTTGGGTTATCACTTTCACCTTTAATTTTCTAATGCAATGGAATGCAGCAGGTATAATCAATATTTTCGTTCAGTATTCTTATTTTTAATTATCACCATATTAGGGTTCCAATGGAACTTTTTTCCCCTTCTTGTCAGGAACATTTGTAATTTTCTCCACCGTCTCGGCAGTGTCGATTCTGTTTATCTATTTCTTAGTGCCTGAGACGAAAGGGAGGTCACTCGAAGAAATTCAAACATTGCTTTCCAATTCTGCCCATTAATATCAAATTAGCATTATATTTCTTGTTGCAAAAAGAGAAAAACAAAAAAAAGAAAAGAAATATAAAGTACGTATGTTCATGTGAGTTTGGATGTCTTTGGTGATGAGATGGAATTTCTAGTTGGAACATAAAACAACATTCCCTTAATTGGAAAACTAAATTATGTACTGTTCATGTGAGTTTGAATGTCTTCGATGATTAGATGATTTTTTAGTTGAAACATAAAACAATAAATTTCTAAATGTATCTCTATTTTCTGCAAAATCAAGATATATAGTCTGTTAAACTCTGTATATGAAACCTCTTGTTATTAATGTTTCGAAAACTCTCCTCAAAAACTAAACATAAACAACCTTGTATCTCTCATCGATGCAACTTCAACAATCGCACATATATATATATATATATATATAGTGTTAGCATATTTTGCTAACAACTTTTTTATTTCCTAGTAGAACTAGATGTCTCCTAATCTAATAAAGAAATACAATAACCTTATCTTACTTCTAACTGACTTGTTAGATGTCTTGGACTTTAGATAAATGTTAAAACTTATCCAACATTCTCCCTCTTAATCTTCAACTTGGTCTTGAACATGTTTTGAACTCCTATTAAGCTTCTCATCTCACCAAACTTGACCTTTGCCAAAGCTTTAGTTAAGATTATCTTCCTTTTATTCAAATCCTGGTATATGCTTCACCTCAACCAGCTCATTCTCGATGCATTCTCTTATAAAGTTATAGCGTTTGTGAAATTGTTTGCTCTTGCCATGAAATATTGGGCTCCTTGTGAGAGAAATTGCAGATTGGTTGTCAATCTTGATAATAACTTAGCTTGATCTGTCTTTCATCCTGTGATCTCCCTTAGAAGTTCTTGGAGCCATATTGCTTGTCTAGCAGCTTCCGTTGCTTCCATGAACTCTGCCTCGCACGTTGAAAGAGCGACTGTATCCTGTTTCTGTGAACACAAAGTGATTGGTGCAGAACCAAAATAGAACATATGACCGTAGTGCCTCTTTCATCATCTTGATCAATGATGTGACTACTATCGCTAAAGCCAATGATCTTCTTTGATCCTCCACGTTTAAACTTCAGACCATATGCACTTGTTCCTTTGAGATACCAAAGTATATGCTTCATCACTTCGCCATGTGACTTACAACGACTCTGCATATATCTGCTAGCCACACCAACTGAGAAGGCTAAATAAGGTCTCGTGTGTAGTAGATACCTTAAGCACCCAATATTTCTTCTGTAGTTAGTAGGATATATCTCAGGTTCTCCATGTGCCTTTGAAACTTTCAGACCAAATTCCATAGGTAATTGAGTTGGATTGCAATTTTCAAGACCGGCTTCTCTCAAAATCCTTTTTTGCATATGCTTCTTGCTTAATCTCGATTCCATCTTCTCCTTGATGTACTTCAATGCCTAGGTAATATGTGAGTCTTCCGAGATCCGACATCTCAAACTTAGATGACATCCCAAATTTGAACTCGTTTATGCCTTTGAGAGTATTACCGGTCACAAACAAATTATCAACATAGATGGCAACGATGAGAAGTGTACCTCCCTCTTCCTTGCGGTACACTGAAGTTTCTTTTGAACACTTTTTGAATCTCATTCCCTTTATGATCTGATCCAATTTTGTGTTCCATGCTTGTGGAGCTTGTCTTAGGCCATACAAAGTTTTCGAAAGTTTGTACATCTTATGTTCTTTACCTTTTGCTTCAAATCCTTCTGGTTGATTCACATAAACATCTTCCTTTAGTTCTTTATGTAAAAACTCTGTTTTTACATCCATCCATGCAAAGCTGCTAATGCGATCAATAAGCGTATTGTTTCAATACGGGCTACATATGTGCAAATACTTCATCAAAGTCTATGCCAGATTCTTGTACATATCCTTTAGCCACAAGCCTTACCTTATACTTGTTGATTGTACCATCTGCATTCCTTTTAATTTTGAATATCCACTTGAGACCAATGACTTTAGTCCCACTTGGTTTATCAACTAGAAACCAAGTCTTGTTTTTGTTGATAGAATCGATCTCTTCCTTATATGCTTTTCGCCATTTCAATTAAACGACCTTGGCTCATCATTTACTAAGAGAAGGAGATTCTCACATTCTATCGATGCTTGAAGAACGAAGTCATCAAGCAAACATAGTCTAGTTGTAGGAAATGTTGATCTTCTCAGGGGTTGTTCTTGTTGGAGCGTGTTTGCTTGACTGTTATCGTTGTTCTGGGACTGCTCATAATGATTATTGTCAGATCCTTGTTCATGATCATTATCATCAAGATTATTGAACTCATTGTCCTCGGTTGCATCATGTTCTTGATGTTGTTCATTGCCGATCACAACAGGTCCTTCTCCAGCATCTATAACCCCACCCCATCTCATCTGACACATACTTGGATCCTGATAACCTCGTATTTGTACTCATTTTCACTATTGATTTCAAATATTTTTTTAAACGTTTTAATTAGTTTTAAGAGTTTTTATTACTTTTCTATATTTGTAGTTTCAAGACTCTTTTCAGGAAACTTAGGGAAAAACATGAAAAAATGGAGGAAATCCACATTTTTAGCTCAGAGTCAAACCGTCAAAAGCTCGCTAAAACACAATCTTGATGTTATGCACATTGAGAAGAATTTTTTTGATAACATCATGCATACAGTGTTGAACGTGCAAGGACCAAAGAAAGCCTAAAATCACGAATGAGCTCGCCTGATATATGTAGTAGAATTGAGTTGCATATTGTGAGCAATGGGAAAGCACCAGTTCCTATATTTCGGTTGGGTGCAGAACAAAAAACTGAATTGTTTAATTGGGTTTCATCTGCCGTGAAATTTCACCTCCACCTCCTCCACCACCCCCACCGCCAGCACCCGAATCCCGCCCTCTGCATCCGTATGCTAGCTACACGGTGGAGGATCTGCTAGTCTAACCGGGGCGGGCCAGTTTACGTCGTTTGGCGCCGGGTAAACCGCCCAAACACATATTGGTAAGTTCTATTTCAGTTATTTATTTGTTTTTCAAATAATTCATATATATTTGTTTTACTAACAATTTGTTTTTCTAGGTTTGGCATTGACAATTGTGTCGGCTATAGCGTTGCCGACATAACTAAGAGTTACTTCATCGAAACTCACTATAATTGGAATAAGGTTTCAGAAGACATTTCAAGACCTGGTACAAATGTATTGCAGTAAATATCCTCTTTTATATATTTTCTATTTATATTCTTCTTTTTAATATGTATATAAATGTTTTGATAAATATATTATTTTATTTTGCAGAAAAAGTGGAACTGGGATATCTTAATCAGCGAGATGGTGCAGACGGAGTTAAGGAAGAAGGCAATGAAACGCCTTGCAACACCGTTTCAGATTGGAAGCAGATGAGGGAAGTCGACGGCGACGACGTGAAGCCCAGTTCGATGTCGTCATACTGCTGGAACGGGTTGAAGGCCTATTGGCTCGACCCGCATGCACATGATACGACAGCCAAATGTTCGGCCGTTCGAAACAGGGTCGGCCCTGACAGTCAGAAGATAGTGACCCCGCATACTTTTGGCCAAGTAGCATTCGCGGGAAGACAGTCTGATGATGGTACAGATATTTTTGGTTATTTACTTTAATATTTTTAATATTATCATTTAAATATTACATTTATTTACTAATGTTTAACATTTTTGTAGACAGAGAGAATTTCTTCCAATGACAAAGGTCTTCGAAGCCACTCACCGGAACAAGGATGGATGTAGGTCACAGAAGATCTACAATGATGCCATGGAGAAGATCACCGAACGGCAAACTCAGGTCACACCTGACGGTACTATCCAAGTATCTTTGATCGCCTTCGAGCAAGGTAAGATCTTCGAAGAGGTAAAACTTATTATTTTTTTTTAATTTTTAATTACTACTTAATATTTATTTGACAAGATTTTTAATTATATAAATTTTTAATTATTTGTAAGTTGTTCCGAGGAAAAAGAGCCGTATCTAGATAGGCTCTATTAGAGATTGTCCAGTCGCCTCGACTACGGGAAGCCGGCCATACGAGGATCCGGTTCAGCTGCGGCAGGAGTTAGATGTCGCCCATGCAGAGCTCACCATCTTGCGGACTGAGCGAGTCGTGCAGAAGCAGGAGATCCAGTGCTTCAACGACCTTTTTGATATCATAGCAGCTAGCGAGCATTCCAGACTTGGCAGCCGCATTGAGAGAGAAGCAACGGCTATCACGGACTTTGGGTAGAACTTCTTCTGGTCTGCAGACCGGTACTGACGGTCAGGCGGCTCCCGTCAGTCGGGCGGGAACTGACGGTACAGCGGCTTCCGGCGGACATACAGAAAATGACGGGGAGAGGCATACAAATGTCGATTTTAATACCAATGATTATGATTTGAAACTGAACTAGATTTTGTATTTTTTTTTTTTAATATTTTGAATTTGAATTTTAATATTATTATTAATTTTGAATTCAATACTCTTTATTAATAATATTTTTGATATATTTTATATTAAATAAATTAAAAATCGATTTTTAAAAAAAAATATTTTCTAATATTTGATATAAAATCAACGTAAAATATCAACACATTTACGTCGATAACTTTACGATAAATTTACGTCAAATTATTTTACGACGATTTACCATCGAAATTTTACGACTTATGAACATTGAATTTTGAAGAAATTAATTCATTATTTCGAATAAAGTTTGTCGGGTAATCGTTGTAAAATCGATGTAAATTTAAATTGAGTTTACGTCGAATTTACGACAAATTTTTACAGATGAATTTACGACGATTTCTTTGTGTCGGAACATTTACGTTGATTTTACGATGCTTTGTGTTTTACGACGCTCGTTTTACGACGAATTGAAATTCGTTGCTATTTCGATGCAAACTCCGTTTTACATTGGATTTACATCGAAATGTTCTGATGTAAATAGGTGGTTTTCTTGTAGTGACCACTCTGTTTTGTTGAGGAGTGTATGGAGCCGTGAGATGCCTTATAATCTCACTTTCTTCACAGAACTTAAGAAACTCTTTGAAATGAACTCTCGTCTTCTGTCTGTTCTTAGAGTTAAGACTGATTTTCCTAGTTCCTTTTCCACCAGACTTTGAAACGCATTGAACTTCCCATATGCTTCACTCTTCTCATTTATCACGATAGTCCACATATATCTTGAGAAATTGTCAATGATCACAAATATGTATCTGTTGTGAGCAATGGTTGGTGGGGTTATTGGACCACATAGGTCTGCGTGAAGTAGCTCTAAGGATTTGGAAGCTCGAAACATAGCTGCCTTTGCAAAAGATTGTCGAGTTTGTTTTTCGACTAAACAAGACTCACACAGCTCCTTTCTTCTCTGATTACATGTAGACTGTGGACCATTTCTTATTGGGACATGGATTTCCTTGTTTTGAAGCTTATATGTCCCAACTTTGCGTGCCATCTCCATGTTTCATCTTCTACTCTTGAGCGTAGACATATCGTTCTTCCAATCTTTAACTTTATCTTGTAAAGGCTATTAGGAGATCATATGAATTTCACTAAGAGTCTTCCTTCTGGATCATGAAGTGTCAGGTAATCTTGTTTCATCCTCACATCACAGCCAGCATCCCTAGCTTGCCCTAAACTCAGAATGTTGCTCTTAAGATCAGGGATGTAGTAGATATCTGTGAGAACCCTTTGTTCACCAGTCTTGCCTTGAAAAAGAATTGACCCTTTCCCTCCTATTTTCACACAAGATCCATCTCTGAACTTGACTTTGCCTTTGATATTCTTGTTGAGCTCGGAGAAGTACATTTTGTTGCATGTCATGTGGTTACTTGCTCCATTATCGAGATACCAAACTCCATATTCATCGTTGTTGGTTTCATAGTTCTTTGGAATTAGTTTCTCTTCGTTTAAGAACACAACTTCATGCATGTAAAAGGCTGAATCTGCTTGAATCCAAAAATTGGTGATGCTACCATTAACTGAGTGTAGGAGTTGAAGTCGCCCTGCATATGACAAGTGACGAGCACCCCATGAGCTGATCTTAGATCGAATCTTCTCTACGAAAGGTGAATATTCAGCTACAGTAATTCTCTTCGCTAAAAGTAGGAGCCCCAAACAACGCACAAGGAGCTGACCAACAAGAAAAGGAAAATGATTGATTATCTCTTGTCGTGTGTTGTTTGAAACCCCGACAAGGTAGATTGTCGACTTCTCCAGACTGATACAGAGACCCAACATTTTGGAAAAAACATCAAATACCCGAATGACACCCGCAATGGACCTTTCACTTCCATCCACAAACACC